GATATTTCAACTATAATATGGTATCCAAAATTTTTTGCAATTACGATACTTCTTTTACTTCATACAAGGAAGTAAAAAAAGTAATGAATTGGTAAGGTAATGCATGCTTAAAATATTGATGAGCAAATTGCAATAAATGCTGGGTTTATTCAAAACATTTGCTGAGTAATCATTTAAATGCCAAGTGAAAAGATTAATTTGTCTGCTGGGAATATTTACAACATCACAAAAGAAACACTCAGCTTCATAAAAGTTCCAGCCCATTAGATTCAAAATACTTAAGAAAAATATATATGAATGGACCTGGGGGTTTGACTCTGCACAAAAGATGAATTTCTTTCTCATGTCATTATAATTAGAGAGGGGATTTTAACATGAAAAAAGCAAAATTCACAGAAGGTCATGGGATAAACTGTGAAAATTTGCAAAACTTTCACAGCCTTGGATCTGTGCAACAACTTTGTGAAAAATTTCACACTCAAAATTTACACCAATAGTTTGGGTACATGTATACCAAAAATAAAACAGCGACACAAATAACTAACACGTAACTATATAAAAATTGCTACTTTCTGATTATTTGCAACCCCAGGTTGTGTTCTTGTCCTGTTTTTGAGTATACATGTGGCAACAACCAACTTATGCATGTGCGCACCATGACATGCTTTACATTTTATCATCCTTCCATCGAACGGTATCTACCAGCTCTAAATATGTAAACATACAGGTCATACAGAATTTTGCTTTTCTCATAAAATGTTTTGTTTCTTATAAAAAATGCTTTTTGATTACTATTATTTATGAATAGAACAATACCCTTAACTCTTTTGCATCAATACGGCCAAAATCTATTTCACTCAAACATATAAAACGCCTGTATGTATGTATTTTTGTTGGAATGGATTTCTTCCCCTAATGCCAAGCAGAATTACCTATTTAAGTAAAGCGAAAACTACTCTCTTGGGATCATCATGTGTTTTCAACACTGTGTGCCATTATCCCTTAGGACAGGCCAGTGGCATAGCTAGGGTGGGGCAAGTGGGGACATCTGTCCCCGGGAGCAATATCCAGGGGGTGCAAAATTGATGTTATGAAACTTTAAAATGAAAGTTTCCCATTCTTGGCACACAGAAAGAGGCGGAATTTCTTCAGTTGTCCCCGGGTGCTGAAAATCCTAGCTACGCTTCTAGAACAGGCTCGTAACTTAGGCATCAATAGCTAAAACATTGATGCTAAACTAAGGAGAAGGAAGGCGCATTCAAATAATAAAACTACTTTTAGTTGCTTCAAAATAATGATTGGCATGTCATTTAACAACACCCAACAGCAATGAGCCATGCACTAACGTGATGATGGAATGCACCAGGTAGAAAATAATTCAGGCGTTTGAGTGACCTGCCGATGTTTGAATGGTCAGGCATTTTGGACGACTTCGGTGCGAAAGAGTTAAGTCATAAAATTAGCCTGACAGAATTTTTTTTTTTTTTAATTAGAGAGTTGCCAATGAGTTGGTAACTTTTCATAAAAATTATACTATACATTTCAATACAAATTTATATTTCAGATTCTAGAAATGTATTCAGACTATCATTTTAGTGGATGGTGTTTTTGTACAGTATATCCTGTATATACACAGGTTTTTTTTCAACGACAAATGTTTTCTTCAAAAAGCATCATACAGCATCAATCACCTTCAAAGAAAAATGTGCTGGCAGGAACAGCCAACAGGGAGTAACTTTATGTACCTTTGATTTTTTTTTCCCTTCATATTCAGAACTCTAGCATTGATTGGCATAATTCAAAGTTTAAACTTTAAGTTAGAATTTTCGGACAGCATTATTTTTCAGCAAATTATTCATAAAAATAATATGAATATTAGAAACAAAACATAATACAAAAAGTTCAAAATTCATGGATTGATTCCACATTTATGGTAAAACCTTATATTTGTAAAATCTTAAAATATTCCTAAGATTTATGAAAATAACTGTGGGCATTCATGTTAAAATAAAGTTATTGTCCTAATTATAATCACTTTCAGCTGGGGGTTAAGGAGATATAGAAGCATAGTACTAAGAGGTAAGTTACACAGGCAGGAGGCAGGTGTGTGGCATAACGAGGCATCAAATTTATGGTCAAAAAAATTATTTTGACAAAAATGATATATTTTATGATACATTTATTATCATTTTCTTACATTTTTATTCATTCTTTGAAACACAGTAATAATCAACTTTTTCCTATTCCTTATTTTTATTTTAAAAAACTGCCATTGTCATCCTTTGCTCAAGTGTGAAAATATATTTGCATGGCCCTCAGATAAAGAAATGGAGTAGAAACAGAGTTCAATTCCAAAGGAAAACAAAATAGGCCATGAGCCAATAAGCTTTCGCTCTTTTTTATCCTTATATGGATCTTTAATACAGTCAAAAGTCGTTAATCCGGACTCATCGGGACTTCGGCGATTCCGAATTATCGTTTTTTTCCGGATTATAGATCATCAGTTTAAATCTGGCAAAATGGCATGCAGAAATTATAAAATTAAAAATATGAAACCGTAATTTACGAAATAAAGAACAATTATGATCTAAAGGGTATCAAAATTTACAAAAAAAAAAAAAAAAAAAAAAAAAAGCTTAATATTTATTTGTTTACTTTATTAAACATTTCTTTCAATGTAAGTTGTTTAAGTTGCTTCGTTTTTTATGTGATAATACATTCTCTTTAATTCTATAAACAGACATAATTTCGTGTTCAGTTACAAAGTTCCGCTGTTCAAGTCCTATAATTGCTGTGTCAAGAATACCGACTATTTTGTCAATTGAAATTTTTTCGTTTTCAATAACCTCTATCACTTTCTTCGCTATCCGAAGCGAATTATAATGACGAGGCATTTGATTTAAATCATATCAAAGACACATCGAGATGAAATACTACATTGAGTAAGCAATTATAAGCCAAATAAAATAAAAACATCTGCTCTTAAGATAAGGATAGTGCTGGATCAACTTCCAATTCATTGCACGCATCCGGTGTTAAAGATAAACAATGTTTAGATAAACAAACGTTAAAGTTTACATAAACAAACGTTAAAGTTTACATAAACAAACGTTAAAGTTTAGATAAACAAAGGATATGCCTTTATCCATTTTTTGCAACAATTCTACTTTTTGTTTAATGGACTCCGAAAGATACTTTCGCTTTGTATATCCTTTACATATTAGTAAATATATATCGGAAATTCTATTTGACATAATCGAAAGTTCAAGCTTACTTTTATAAAATTGCTCTAACAGTCTGCAAAAAATAATAATCCGGATCCAATTCGAAGATTAAGGAACAACGCAATCTGCAACATTAACTGAAATAGATAATTAGATAATTTTAGCTTAGCTTATCCTGTCCGTTATACATTAAACGCGCATTCGTAAACGTATTTTGCGCACGCGCACACGCAAATTCGCAGCGGTAAAGATCTTACGCGCGACGCATGCGCAGAAATTTTGTAGCTTAGAAGTCCGGATTATGGGTGTCCGAATTAACGACTTTTGACTGTAGTTCATTCTTGCAAAACTATCTACTGTATATGGTTGGGAATCAAAAAACAAGATCTCGGTAATGATGAACAGTTATTTTTCCTCAAGCACATCATCTACCTACATCATAATTTGATACTTACGTACTATGACAACTAACTAGATATCTCGCCAAAACTGGTGATCCTTGTAGTTTATACAGGTTAACCCTAACATAGGTTATAGAGGGTACTAAAATAAAGAGTATTATCCCGCACTAGCTATTACCACACCCTTTTTTTTTGCTACACTTGCACAGATTATTACGTCCAGGTTAAACACGTGAAACTTTTTGTGATTATTTTTTCCCAATGGATATCAGTATTTTCCAACTTCCTTTAAGCCTCTCAGCGTTACGGCCAGAAAATTCCGTATACGGCTGGCTGCCTTCTATATTCATTATACATGAAAATTTCTGCTAGCTTTTAATGTATTTGATTTCAGTTAGGATGTATATTGGAAGAAAAGAAATCAAGGTGCAAAATGAGAAAGTCATTTGTAAATTAAAATCAAGAAAATACCACTTATTCATGACATTTTGAGGAAGTTTGAAATTTCAGGGCTAAACCCGTAATGCTCGGAGGGTTAAATGAAAAAGAAGCGATAGAATTTTTCAAGAGAGGCTGGAATTTTACCCAAAGAATGCATTTGTAAAAACGGCCATGATATGAAGTTTTATAATTCAGGATTTTAATGGATATCAAAAAATGGTTTTTTAAGTTTTTGTTCCCCTTTATAATTAGGGCTTTTATTTTTAAAACAATTTATAAACATAAACCAAAAAACACCAATGAAGATTTTTATCGGCAAATGTTGCCAAGGTAGTCGACATAGTACATAAGTACCCATAATTTTTATCAAACGTATCCCATAGAATAAAATTCAAGTCTTATGGCTTATTTTCTTAATATCAGGCTCTCAAAGCAACATAAGAACAACACAATTTTATAACCTTCATTTCATACCACTAGAAGCACAAACATTTCTGCCAAACTGAAATAAATTCCACGACATAGCACCCATTAATTAACATATCTATCAAAGCAATACATTACATTTAATCACCACACACATGAAACGAAAATGTAAAAATGTCAATTACATAATATTTAGAATAAACACAGATTTTTGTGCGACACCATAAACGAAAAAATTTCCCACTAATTTTATATTTAAACATTTAATATGATTCTTTTCTAAAAAATTTGATAAAATTCTGAAAAAATAAATTCAATGAAAGTGAATAACAGCTTTATCTTCCAGTAAAGTGTTTTCTTCACCTGACACCATGACACATATTTAAAAGCTTGCTTTAAAGATTTTTACAGCCTGAAAAGAACTCTTAATGGACATAATAAACTTTTACAGACACAGCAGAAACCAAAGATAATTTGATTAAGAAACTCCAAAAAACAAATTACTTACCAAGACCAGAATGTAATTCTCCAACATGTTCTAAACCACAAAGCTTGACCATAGCAGTTAAGTTATCTGGCCATGTATAAGGACTGACTTCACAAAAGCTCTGGAATTAAATTTAATAGAATTATTAACATAAGTATATTATTTAGTGAGAGAATTAAACTGGCTCTTAATCAAAAGAACTCTAAAAATGCTAAAAATAAAAAGTCATACACCACTGAAGATCTTGTATTACCCATTGCCATTAAAATGGTAGAACTACTTCATGGAAGTAAAAATGGTGAATGAAATTGGAAAATTCCTTTTGTCAGTTGATACTGTCACCAACACAATTTCTGAAATCAGCAACGATCAATTCAAGAAACTTATTACAAGACTTAAAGAAAACCAAAAATTTATATTTAACTTGGATAAAACCATTGATATTTAAAAAATAGCTAATATGTTTGTATATGTCAGCTAAATTTATAAAGAAAACGTCGATAATGAATTGCTATTTTGTCGTCTTTTTCATCCTTGTGTTTGGAAGAACACACAACAGGGAAAGACACATATAGTAAAGTTGACTAATTTTATAAAAATGGAGGTTTAGAATGAAAAATTACATTGGAGTAGATAGGTAAAAGTGATAACAGGTTAAAATATAAATTTTAAATGATTTATTAAAGTTGCTGGTTATGATCATATAACTTTTGCACACTGCTGATCAATCGAGAGGCTCTTGCAGAGGGGAGAGAATTAGAAATTAAATTAAACAATGTGCTTCAAGATGCTGTGTGAAAATTACAATATTTATTTAAAGACCCATCCTTAACAGCCATTTATTGTCAAATCTCTGTAAAGAAATAGACTCCAAATACAAAAATTTATCATTATACCTTAGTTTCAAGTGGGTGAAGTTTAAGAAGATTGTTGTTATTAAAAGACAAAATTTTTATATTTTGAATTGTATCAAAATCAGATCTTGCTGTTCTTTATCAAAACTGTGATTTATGGCTATCAAAGCTGTGCTATTTGTCAAACATTTTTCAAAAGCTAAACTCAGCTTGTCTCTTTAAGGGAAAAAAGAGCAATATATTTAATTTGAGAATGATAAAATTGAAAGTTTTATTAAAAAGATTGACATTTGGAAGAACTGGGTACAAAAATATTCTTTTGATAATGGTTTCGACTATTGACAATTTTATAATCGAAAAGAAAAAATAGTCGTAAAACTTTAATAACAAAAATTATTAGATCACTATAAAAACCCTTAAAACAAAATTCTGAAAATACTTTATATTGAATTTCAAAAAATTATCTTAGATTCAAAACAGTCTTGATTGATGTTAATGAGATTGATCACCTGCCATATAAACCCCCAGTGAAATGTTCAGCCATCAACTGACTCAAAATGTGAGTTTCCACCAAATTCCCAGAGCGAATTCTGGAGTTTAGCTAGATCTGAAATTCATACAATATTTGAAATACCATTAAATGTTCTTCCCCCATCTTCATACTTATGTGAAATGACTTTTTCAGCTTTAATGATTATTAAATCTAAATATCAGTCACAGAAACATGTTTTACTTCCAACAGTGCCAAATACTGCACCAAGATTTAATTTATTATCCAGCAAAAAAAAACATGCATATCCTGCTCACTAAAATGTGATTTTTTTCATCAATTTTTGTATACTTGAAGCAGATCTCAAAACACCTTTTCCTATATATATATATATATATATATAAGAAAAATAAAGAATATGTAAAAGATTAAATTAGCAGTGTAAATTAATTTCCCTTCTCTATTCTAAAAATAGCATTGCACTGCGTCATTTCGAGAAAAATCTATGTCATATGACTCTTACGCAATTCTGGTGATGTAAAACTGAACTAAAACTCAAGCAGCCAATAATAATTTTACAGCAATATTAACTATCCAATCAAAATGCTTTGAGAACCAAAACTAACTCAGTTTGATTTAGGATTTCATCCTGAACATTACGCACTTGCTTTGAAAGCTTTGCCTTAGCTGGACTGCTGTCTGTCTACTTCTTCTTTTTTGCTGCAAATATATCGAAAATGTAAGCCCTTTGGAACAGGCACATTTAATGTGCCGACTTGTGTGTAGCCGCAACATGTTGCTGAAAATAAAACTGAAGATTTAATCTGTCTTTGCCTACAATTTCCTAGTCATTATGGATCAACACTTCTACGCCATCAAAATTCCTGCTCCTAAATATATTACATATATATATATATACTGTTATGAATTTTGTATTTAGTTAGATATTTTTAGTAGAATTATATTTAAAAATGTTTTATTTCCCTGTGCAATGCAGCGCGTGACAAATTTTAAGAGAAAGCTATGCCGGAGGTGTAAAAATACAGGAGCATGTGCATTTAACATTGAATAAATGAATACAGTCAAAAGTCTTTAAACCGCACTCGTCGGGACTTAGCTGATTCCGGATCATCGGTTTTTCCGGATTATAGATCATCAATTTAAATCTTGTAAGATGGCATGCAGAAATTATAAAATTAAAAATATGGAACCGTAATTTATGAAATAAAGAGCAATTATGATCTAAAGGGTATCAAAATTTACAAAAAAAAGCTTAATATGTATTTGTTTACTTTATTAAACATTTCTTTCAACGTGCACATGCGTAAAGCATACATTACGCATAGTCAAAATTAGAAAATTGCAACCAGAAAACTATTTGATGTGTATTCGTGATATTTATAATGACAAGGGATTTGATTTAAATCATATCAAAGATGGAGTACATCAAGATGAAATGCTACATTTAGTAAGGAATTATAAGCCAAATAAAATAAAAACAACTGCTCTGAATAAGGATAGTGCTGACAGATCAACTTCCAATTCATTGTGCGCTGCGACGCCCCCCCCCCTCGCAGAGCAGCGTGAAATTGATATTTCATTGCAACATTAACTGAAATAGATAATTAGATAATTTTAGCTTAGCTTATACCATCCTTTATACATTAAACGTGCATGTGTAAATGTATTATGCACATGTGTAAACGCATATGCGCATGCGTTGACGCATGCGCAGAAAGTTTCTAGAAAGCTTGAAAGAGGTCCGGATTATAGATCATTCCAGATTATGGACGTACGGATTAAAGACTTTTGACTGTATTTCTTTTATTTGTATTGAAATTGAATAAACGTAATTGACCATTGTGTTAGCTATAATTATTATTCCACCCTCTTTTTGGTTTCCAGAAATCTCGAGAAGCAGAAAATGCTAGACCTATCTCGTGCGGCCGGTTAAAAACTATTTAAAGCCAGAGAGAGATATCTCTGCGTAGTTACTGTTATTGCAATTCTTTAATTTGATTAATGTTAATTAATTTAATTGATTAAGTTCAATTGCTGTTGTTATTTAGAGTTCAGTATGAGATCAGATTAGCTTTCTCTTTGCATTGCATTGTATTTTAACGTTTTTAGCAGTTTGAAGTACAATACTGATTATATTGCATGATATTGTGAACACTTGTACAAATATCTCTGGGGAAATTCCAGTGTTCTGTTATAATTCTTTTGATAAGAATAAATTTTATTAACCTTTTATCAGACTTGGGCATTCAATCTAATATGAACCTGTACGCACACAACACCATTCAACAAATACATAAATTATTTAAGGTAAAATATTTATTTTTGCATCTTTATTTTATATTTAATACAGTCAAAAGTCGTTAATTCGGACACCCATAATCTGGAATGATCCATAATCCGGACCTCAAGGCTACAAACTTTCTGCGCATGCGTCGCATTGACGCATGCGCGTAAGACCTTTACGGCTGCGAATACGCGTGTGCGCGTGCGCAAAATACGTTTACGAATGCGCGTTTAATGTATAACGCATGGTATAAGCTAAGCTAAAATTTTCTAATTCAGTTAATGTTGCAGATTGCGTTGTTCCTTAATTTTCGAATTGGATTCGGCTTATTATTTTTTGCAGACTGTTAGAGCAATTTTATAAAAGTAAGCTTGAACTTTCGATTATGTCAAATAGAATTTCTGATATATATTTACTAATATGTAAAGGATCTACAAAGCGAAAGTATGTTTCGAAGTCCATTAAACAAAAAGTGGAATTGCTGCAAAAAATGGATATAGGCATATCCTTTGTTTATCTAAACTTTAACGTTTGTTTATGTAAACTTTGTTTATCTTTAATGCCGTGGCGCAATGAATTGGAAGTTGATCTGTCAGCACTATCCTTATCTTCAGAGCAGATGTTTTTATTTTATTTGGCTTATAATTCCTTACTAAATGTAGTATTTCATCTCGATGTACTCCATCTTTGATATGATTTAAATCAAATTCCTCGTCATTATAATTCGCTTCCGATAGCGAAGAAAGTGACAGAGGTTATTGAAAACGAAAAAATTTCAATTGACAAATTAGTCGTTATTCTCAACACAGCAATTATAGGACTTGAACAGCGGAACTTTGTAACTGAACAAGAAATTATGTCTGTTTATAGAATTAAAGAGAAAGTATTATCACATAAAATGAAGCAACTTAAACAACTTACATTGAAAGAAATGTTTAATAAAGTAAACAAATAAATATTAAGTTTTTTTTTTTTTTTTTTGTAAATTTTGATACCTTTTAGATCATAATTGTTCTTTATTTCATAAATTACAGTTTCATATTTTTAATTTTATAATTTCTGCATGCCATCTTACCAGATTTAAACTTATGATCTATAATTCGGAATCGCCGAAGTCCCGACGAGTCCAGATTAACGACTTTTGACTGTATTTGGGATTGTGAACAAATCTTGATCATAAAAAGGGGTCTTGAATGAAAAAAAAAATTAAGAAGTACTGGATTAGAGAATCATTTGGAGTTACATAAAAAGATAGATCAGATGTTATGAATGTGTTGTTACACAAGGCTGTGTTCAGACGGCGGTGTAAATGTCACAGAGGAATAAAATGTGGGAGTTCCGTTCACACCTGCAACACAAGGTCTAAGATACACCCAATTAGAGAAGTTAAATTTGTGCATGTGTGGCTGTGTCTACAGCTTTCCCGCTCTGTTTTCCCATTCAGGTTTTGAGCCTTTGCTCTGACTGGTCAACGATTATCCCAAGTCGGCAAAAAGTGAAAACTTCAAACTTTATGCCAAAAGCCCTAAACCAGATTTTGTGACATAGCACATACTGGTTGACTGGCAATGCAGCTCGGCTTAAACCACTTATGGCCTTTACACCGTTGTCTGAATGCTGCTTAAGGCTTCTCCATAACTGGAATTAAACATACTATTTAGAAACAGTTTTATGCTTACTGGATAATAAGCAAGTCAAATTATTTGCACATCTTTGGAATACATTTAACACTAAAAATATGCCACTAGACAAAATATATATCTGGAGAAAGAGGAGAATATGAACTACACGTATCTGAATGTTTCAACTCCTCAAAACAGAAACAACAATTGTAGCACATGAATCATGTGACAATCAACCATTATATCAGACGGCAGCAAAAGGCAGATCTTGTGCAGCTCCCCCCACCCTTTATACTAGCTGAATGGATATGTTCACAACATATAATGATATACAGCAGCATTAAAACTTGGATGCCAAGGATAAATAAGTCTATGCTTTGAAACTCAAAAATATGCAAAATTATCTCATTTTAATTAAATATTAAAAATCTACATCAGTTAACTTTTAGGTTTATGACAGAAATCTATACACAATTTTCAATGGAGAAAAGAGAAAAAATATTATTCAAAAGCTATTTTTTTTTGTAATAATTAAAGACGAAAATTAAGATTTAATTGTGGAAAAGCATACAGATTTTGAGATACCCTTCAAGTTGCTTTTATTTTCTATAAAGAATTAATTATATTACAAAAAAAATGGGTAAACCTTAGTTGTCAAATGTACAGTGTTCCCCACAAAGGAACCTCTTTTTAAAATAACTCAAAAACAAAGATCAAAAGAAGAATGAAACAAAAGTTATTGGAACAGCTATAAAATCTGATAAAGAAATTTCACATTTAGTCACGAAAGTTGCCAATAGGTGTCACTGCAGTCACAGTACATTCTCGAAAAAAGTAACAAACATGTCCTCTGCAAGCCATCATTGCAATTACATCATAATCTTTTTTTAATATCCATTTTTTGCAGTACAGAGGTGCCACAAACAAAAAATTAAATTTTCACACGCCTCCTGTAGTGTGTCAATGGAAATGGAAATGGATGCATGTGCCTCACAAATCAACTCTTCAAACTCGTCCAGTGTTGCACGATTTTTCTGGAAGACAGTGGCCTTCAAGGTGCCTTACAAAAAGTAGTCACAAGAGGTAAGATTGGGTGAGTATGGAGGCCATTACATGCCCGCTCTGGTAAATTTGGAATTGCCCAAAGCAATAACTCTATCTCTGAAGTATTCCTCAAGGAACTGAAACACTGTTTAATATGATTAATGGAACTGAAGTACTATTTAATATGATTTAATGTTTTTATACATGTGTTTAAGACCTAGGAATACTGAAAAAAACTTTCCCATGTATATTAATGGTACTTTTGCTTCCATAAAGTAGAAGAAACATGTGTATATCTTTAAAAACAACTGCACTGGAACCAAAATCCTCACAGTCTTTTTAATGGAATTTTATTTAGTAAAGCTGTACATTCCAATTTTTTTTTTTTTTTTTTTTTTTTTTTTTTTTTAGCCTATAACAGTTTACAAAATTTAGAAACTCTATATTAGCAAAAATTAATGGGAAAATAATAATATATAAAACACTCATACTAATAGATACATCTGATAAATGACTTCCAAAATAAAAACCAAGAAATATTATTTAAATTAGCTTACTCTTTTCACATTTATCCATTGTTTCATAAATTCAGGAACATCAATCCTTGACAGCTCGCATTGAACAGGCAAACTGAAAAATAATATATAAATATTTAAAATATATAATTTAACAGTTATTAAATGAACTACACGTTGAATTGCATGCAATTCAACAAGAAGCTAAAATCCATATACAGATAGAGTTAGTGTAAAGCACTTAAAATACGTGAGCATGTTTAAAATACATCATGGAAGTACCAAAAAAAAACTGATAATAATATTTTTTTTTTTTTTTTAATCTGACAGTTTTCAGATTTTAAATTACGTCCAAAGGGACGTTTTTAACATATTGTCTTTTACCTTTATTTATTCAATATCATGCTCTTCACGCTTAAACCATAAAATTCAGTTTAAGAGCAATATCGCAAAATAGTTTTAAATTGAGCATATCTTTAGAATTTCCGATACAGAGTCTCACGCGCTGGAGATAAATATGTTTTTTCTGTCCAATGTTGCCATTGCTCGCTTTTTGCAATCTTTGAGTTTGTTCATCCAAAATTCGTTAAAGTTTTACAAAATACGAAATCGATAATAAAACAAATTCCAAATTCCAAATTTGAGCTTCCATATGTCCATATTCACAGAAGGATTACATCAATGAAAATTTGATGGCTCTATGTACCATTGTTTCATCACAATGTGAGAAATATACATATATTTATGCAAATTTTTCATTATTTAATTTCTTCAAATATAATGCATTTAATATAACTCTAACATTTGGTGACAACAGTTTGAAAAGTGAAACGGACATTTATAGTGAATTGGAAGTTACTTAAATACACGTATATTTTATATGTAGGGTAATTTACCTCACTTATACTAAATTATATGTATGCAGTTTTATTTTTAAGACTTATGCTTAAATAGTATTTAAATACAGTCAAAAGTCGTTAATCCGGACTCGTCGGGACTTCGGCGATTCCGGATTATCGATTTTTCCGGATTATAGATCATTATTTTAAATCTCGTAAGATAACATGCAGAAATTCTAAAATTAAAAATATGAAACCGTAATTTATGAAATAAAGAACAATTATGACCTAAAGGGTATCAAAATTTACAAAAAAAAAAAAAAAAAAGCTTAATATTTATTTGTTTACTTTATTAAACATTTCTTTCAATGTAAGTTGTTTAAGTTGCTTCATTTTTTATGTGATAATACTTTCTCTTTAATTCTATAAACAGACATAATTTCTTGTTCGGTTACAAAGTTCCGCTGTTCAAGTCTCGTTAATTGCTGTGCCGAGAATACCGACTAACTCGTCAATCGAAATTTTTTCGTTTTCACTAACCTCTCTGTCACATTCTTCATGTCTTTATCCATTTTTTGAAGCAATTCCACTTTTTGTTTGTTGGACATCGAAACATACTTTCATTTGTAGATCCTTTGGAAGTTCCAGCATCGGAAATTCTACTTGACATAATCGAAAGTTCAAGTTTACTTTTATAAAATTGCTCTTACAGTCTGCAAAAAATAATAAGCGGAATCCAATTCGAAGATTAAGGAACAACGCAATCATCAACATTAACTGAAATAGATAATTAGATAATTTTAGCTTACACCGTCCGTTATACATTAAACGCGCAGACGAAAACGTATTCTACACTTGTGCACACGCATATGCGCAGTAGTCAAGGTCTTACGCGCAAGCGTAAAATGCCTGTGCGCATGTGCCAATGCGGCGCATGCGCAGAAAGTTTTTAGCTTTGAGGTCCAGATTATGGGTGTCCGAATTAACGACTTTTGACTGTATCATTAAATGTTTAAGAATTTTAAATATTACATATACAATGCGAATCAAAAGTTTCCCCAGAAATTTAAAAAGAATGTTATATAGAAATGTCATGATACAGCAACTTTTAATATAAACCTCCGATTCACAAAGAAATTGCGAGTTTGTAAAATCATTGAATATAGCCTGTGACATAAAAGAAACTACACTGTAAGAAAAGGCTTACGTTAAACTGAGAGTAACTCTGTGTGCAAGATTAGATAACAGATGCAAAAGATTGCATGAAAGAATTATAATTCAACCATAGCAAAACACAACCTTGGCTGGCATTCTGCCAACACACTTAAAACTGCCAACACAAGGGTGTAGGGGAAAATCACCCAGGACATGTGATCATTAGTTGTCTTTCACACCTTTGTTTCAGATTTGCATAAATAAATGTAAAGATTCACATTACTTTACAACTCCAAACCAAATTTTTTTTTTCATAACATAGGAATTCTAAATGAAAAGTACATATTTCATCTCTTACTTTTAAAAATATAATCACTAATCACTACAAATAATGGAACTATATTTTTTAGCAGAAGATTTCTTTTTGTAATTTAAAAAAAAAAAAAAAAAAAAAAAAAAAAAAAAAAGGTCAAACGGTCAATAGTTTTCCACCCCATATGAGCAGGATTTCCCCTTATCATAGTTGATTTAATGTGACTTTTGCCAATACTGCGATCTTTTATAAAAGATTTTTTTCTTTTTCCTTCCTTACATAAATTTTCCTCCATCCTATATATGTATAATAATGTACACAGGTTTTAAATCAAAAATCAAAAAGAAATATAGCAATTTTTATTATAATCATTATAATTAATTAAATAATTATAATAATCATTTATTACTACATAATTATTATCATATTATTACTTCCTTGAATGAAGTAAAGGAAGTACTGTAATCACGAAACATTCTGGGTACCATATTTTAATGAAAACATCAGTTTTGCCCATTATCAAATTCAATTTAATGATGTTTTCGTGTGATATCTGTATGTGAGGACAAAATAAAGGACTCTTTTTCCCCAAACGAATTATAAAAATGAATTAAAGTGGATTCAGAAGAGATTTTTTCCATGGCATCTGTATGTACATATGTATCTCACATAACTCAAAATGACTCAGAATGTTGAAATTTTATATATAGGACTTCTATAGCATGCAGTTGTGCACCTCCCTTTTTGGTGGCAATCGGCTGCACCAAATGTATATAAATATATACACACACATATATACTCACTCTGCTACTCCACTCCTGGAGCTCAGTTTCTAAATACTTATATGTTGGTAAATTGTGCATTTTTTGCTTTAAAAATGATTGAATTATGTTGCTCTTATCATCCAGTTAAGGTTTTTATGCCTTGAGTTAGCCTGCATGTTATAGTGGAAGAATTACCAACAATTTAAAAGTTTAGTACAGCTAAGCCTAATTTTTTACCCTACAGCAGCTATATTTCTTTAGACCAAAAGTATTTATTTAGACCAAAAGTAAACATTCAGTTTTGTGCACTGAAAAATCTACTTTCTAGCCCATTGGTTGAATTGCTCGTTTTTCCATAGAAACTGTAATTTTAATTGGAATTTTTTTTTAATTGTTTTAACTGTATTTAATGTTTTAAGTTTTTCTATATCTTTCAATTTTTAATATAAATATTTTGAGTTTTTGTGTATTTTTGCCTTTTTGCAAAGTGAGATCTGACTTAATTGAATCAGAAATATATTTCTAATGAAATTCGAGGAAATAAGTTTAAACGAAATGCAGAGGAAAAATGTGTATAATTTAATATTCTATACAAGAAAGTCATGTGGTGTACACATCAAATTTTTATTAGTAATTATTGGAAAATTTCTTTTTTCAGTCTGTATCAATGAACATATATTTTACCTAAAACATAAAAAATACACATAATAATTATTAATTATAGTACTATGATAATAATCAGTTATGATCATAAAATTATTATAATGAATCATAATAATAATTATAGTAGAATTCATTGAAATGATAATTATTATTAATGAAAAATTATACGAAAAAATTAAATAATTAAATAATTCTAATAACTATTATTATAAATTAACAGTTATTTGTAATACTTTATCGGAAAATTATGTATGTACAGCAAAATTAAGTTTTGAAAACACTCATATTTTCACCAATATATAAAAAAATAAATAAACAAATGCACAAAATTAAATGAAATGTAATCAAATAGTTAATTCAAATTATGATCAGTATATTTCCTTAGTTACTTGCAGTGAAAATCCACAAGGAAAAAATATGAACAGAGAAAAGTCCCTACTACACGATTCATGCGCATCCTCCCAAGTTCATAAATAAATCAGTCAGAATGACACAAGCGTGTTTGTGTTCACAGTCACAACTGTCATAGTTGAACTATATGTGCCACAGTCCCATTCATACTAACCCATCTAATACCTCTTTATATTAAGAGATTACTTTCCTGTGCTTATTCCTTATATTTAAAGGTTTATACTGATTCAAAATCGTTTTAGAGAATATAGTGTTACGTTTTTCTTTTCTTCTGACACCAGTTACGTTATTTTCTTCCTTCACGTTCATACGGGGTTCGTAGATTTGGAGCAAATAATGACGACACTTGATGAAGTATTGAAACACACTTTATTTAGCCAATATTAATCAGGGACAGCTCCAATAACACCTTTTACAGTCGTCGAAAATCTACTATAAACACGCTGGAACAATCAGCGACACAGCCTTCACACTGTCAGGCAATAACGGTGGAGACAGCTTCACTGCAAAGCACCCGAGTACAGTTTCCGACTTTGTTTGGTCATTCTCGGAACTCCATATACTCTTGAGACTCTCTACACGATGCATTCGACGATACACAAGAGTATAGCTCTCTAAGTCTAAGACAAATTTTAAATTGCACAGTTTAAGACAAATTGCAATTTTAAATTGCACAGTCTAAGACAAAACTCGATGATGCACTAATTCGCGATGCACTAAAAGACTCTCGATGCACTCGACGCCAAATCGGCGCTACACTTCGAGACACTCGCTCAATGACTGACTGTCAGCTCGCTAGATGAGGCACACACACCCTCGATGAGAGACACACACTGACTGCGGACCAGCAGGGTTTATATAGCTTTCGGCTTGTAATCGGGAACATTCTGGGCTAAACCGGTAAGAATTCGTTCCAGAAGGTTCTCCATCCGTCCATGGGATATTGCCAATTTTGTCGCCAAATGGGTGATTTCTCGCCAAATGTGGCAACCCTCCCATTCCTTGCCATTTTATGGCAAATTTGGCGGGAGGGGGTAGCATGTCATTAACTAATTACTTAACTAAATGTTATCTCAGACTATATATCTCTTCCCACAATTTTTATTATTACATATTTCTGTACTCTTATTTTCATAGCTTATGTTTCACAAAAAATAAGATTTGAGCATTTTTCATATAGAAATTTTAATAATGGATACATTAAATGTGGCCTTCTAAACTGACAAGAAGGCTTTTAAATATGAATGAGGGCATTTTTCTGATTATAATTTAATCTGATAAGATGTTGAAATTGACAGTATCTGTGATTCCTTCCCATTGGCCATAGAGTGAAACATCTGACTGAGAAAATTATGAATTTAATTATATTTTGATTTAATATAGCAGACAGAAGAGCTAATTATCCTATTTAATGGTTTCTTTCTACTTCCTATAGGTGCTAATAAGCAATTGTTAATAAATTTTATTTTCATTTCTAAAATACTCACTTTGCAAAAACAGACTACTTATGCCATGTGTACTGAGAAAATATTTAAATTATTTAGAACATGAGTGTTAAGTTTTAAAATACGAGATCTATTTTATAAAATCATAACTTCTCTTGTTAATCATGTAGGAATTAATATATGGATTTAAGAATTAATACCACTACATTCTTATTCTCAAAAATATTTCTACGTTATTTGCATACTGATTTTTAACAAAAAATTAAATCTTTAAAGTAAAAAATAAGGTCAAAAATAGTTTTTCTTCACGTTTGTGAGATCTGTGGCTTATTAAAATTCTAAAAATAAAAATTTACAGGATTCACTGCAACTGTTGTGGACACAACAAAGAAAACTAACACAATTTAACATTCTAGCAAAGTTGAATTAATCGATTAGAATATAAGTATTTATACTTTTTCTAAATGTTTAATTACCTATATTTAAAAAAATAATAATTTAAGTCACAAATATAAATATTTATATATTATAAATATTTAATGAAACTCACATATTAAATACAAGTATAATATTAAAAACTTACAGATAATCCAAATCAGGATCACCAGAAGTGGCAAATGCAAATTTTACTCCTGGCTCTAGCAGATTTTCTTTTTCTAGCCATATCAAAAAATTCTAGAAGAAAGAAAAAGAAATTTACTCTCTATAAAATATTTTTATCCAAAAACAGAAATAAGTTGTAAATCGTAAATGAAATTTGAAAAGAAATTAGCAGTAATTAAATGCAATGATAATTTTGTATTTATATTTTGATAATTTTAACAGCAAATAATACTTTGTTTCATTACTAAATTTCTGAATATTTATTTTTACTCATATGGCGAAGCACATGGTAACTAGCTGCCTGAGGGACTAAAACTAACATATATTCTAAGAAAATAATAACATAACTTAAACATTTTAAATATGCTTTATGAATTTTAAAGTTTGTCAAATCATATTCTGTATGTTAATTGATAATCATTTCTAACAAAATACAGTGATTTAAATTTATCAACCTATTACAAGATATTTATTTATTAACATTAAATATGTCTTACAATTATTGATAATTATGTATTATTTTTTACATAATTATGTATTATTTATGTATTGATAATTATGTATTTTATAGTATTAGTAAACTAAATGTATATAAAATAATGCCTATCATTTTACTGAATACTTTTAAGTTAAAATTTAAAGATTAACCATGCAATTTATCATATTTAACTACTGTTTACCTACAGAAAACCCATAGCAAAAACAATTATAGACAAATTTCTTATATATATATATATATATATATATATATATATATTCAGTGTATATGTAGAATATTCAGTTCCATAATGCGAAACATTCAGTGTACATGTGGGCAGGAACCAACAAATTTACAGAAACTAATTTCAGCATTAAAACTTGAACATTAAAATAGCAAATATACAATTTCATTATTCTACCAGCAATTTTTTCAAAAGAAATTGTGGTGCCTGATGATTATCTGCACCACCTGAAAAGTCACCAACTTTAATGGCAACTTTGCGAATTGGTGAAAAACATTTGTTCGGCTACCTTTACGGCTTATAGGTGCTGTTTTGTTCAGAAATAATTATAAGAAGCATTTTATAGACAATGAAAAATTCTGGGAGAAAAAATAAAAACCTATATGGCAGGCATTTTAAGTTTTATGACTGATAGATACAATTAAATATAAAGCATATGCATCTTCATGTACTCAAACATGTCAGTGCTATACACCTGCAATGTTCGCTACTTTCGGGTATATACTCAAAAACACAGCTGTTCTATTGAATATTGAAACCAGAGGTATGTATATAATCAGAAATTGTTGAAATTTTAGTTATATTTTTTCAACTTTTTACCAATATTAAAAACTTCACTTTAGTCTATGTTCTATGTTGCAGTTTATATATTCATGTTTACATATCTCAGACCTTTTAAATTACAAACAAAACTGCATAAAACAATTATCATTTAACTTTAGTCAATTGCACATAAAAATATCAATTTCATTTTAATACCATGAAATTCCAATCATTGATCAAATTTAAAATAAAAGATATTTACAATGAAAAATATATATCTATAATAAAAAAACGGGAAGATTTAAATAATCTCTTGAAATAAAGGGGGAAAAATTGAATCATTCTTGTAAATTCAGACAGAATTTTTGCAGCTAAAGAAGAAGAAAAGGATACTTATGCATTAGCATAACCACCATAATAAAAGTCACCAAATTTTTAAAAAGTGCCAAATTGTGGTGACCATGCATATAACAATTCTTTAGTTTTAATAAGCCATTGCCATTTTCAAATGTCATTTTTTTTTTGTCGTATTTCAAATTGGAATGACTTTTGTAGATAAATTGTGATATTTTTTTTGTTTTTGAACCCAATTTTAAAACATGTGTTTACATTTTTCTTTTCTGACACCAGTTGTTACATTATTTTCTTCCTTCACGTTCGTATGGGGTTCGTGTGGATTTGGAGTGAATAACGACGATAGCACTTAATAAAGTATCAAAACACACTTTATTTAGCCAATATTAATCAGGTCAGCTCCAAAGTCACTTTTTTACAGTGGTTGAAGAACTAGTATAAACATGCTGACACAATCAGCAACACAGCCTTCACACTATCAGGCTATAACAGTGAAGAAAGCTTTACTGGAAAGCACCATAGTACAGCTCCTGACTCTGCTCGGTTGTTCTCAGAACTCCATGTACTTTCGGGACTCTCCACGCTACAACTTGCGATGCACTCGACGACACACAAAGCACAGCTCCCGACTCTTCGGTTCAGTCGTTCCCAGAGTTCAACACACTCTCTCGACGATGCACTAACTGCGATACACTAAGAGATTCTTTCAGTGCACTTGACGACCCACTTGGCACTCGCTGCTCGGCTGTCAACTCGATCGACTCTGCATAGATAGATTAACTCGAGACACACTCATTCGCACTGCAGACCAGCAGGATTTATATAGCTTTCCGCTTGTGTTCGAGAACATTCTGGGCTAAACCGGTAAGAATTCGTTCCAGAAGGTTCTCCATCCGTCCATGGCATATTGCCAATTTTGTTGCCAAATGGGCGATTTCTAGCCAAATGTGGCAACCCTGCCTTCCTTGCTATTTCATGGCAACTCTAAAACTGCTTTGCAGGGAAACCATCTTACGGCACCTGTACATTTTGTAACAATATGTTTGCACGATTTGCCTGCAGCGGAAAAGAAACTGAAAAATTTCTGCAGGAAACAGTATTTTGCTACAAATCTGCTAAAGGGAAAAAGATACTTAATATATTTTCTCATTGACTGTCAAAGGTGACTACTATCAAATTCTGCAAATCATTTCAATTTGCACATAATACATAAATACCAAAACATGTGTAAGATAATATGAAAGAAGTATAATCAGAAAAGAAGAAAAAGGGTTATTAAAAATATGTTTAAATACTTTAGTTGATACAGTAAAATACTGACATGATGATGATCTAAAGATAGTAGGAAAACAAGTTCTAAAATATTATGAATATTACATTAATAAATATAGGTTACAATGACAGAAATATATGCTGTTAAACATAAATACAAAAAATGAGAGCATAACAAATATTATTAAATTATATTTAAGGATAATTGCATAATAATATTCCAAGAGTTAACTAATTAGCTCAGACTGTCACTAGCCAGAGTAAACACTAAACACTGGCAGTTAAACTAGATTTGAATATATTGCATCAAAAACAGACTGCATGGTGTTTTTTAAAACTTCTTCCTTATGCACAGCTCCTAAACTTGAAATGTGAAAAAGTGGGAGGTTTTTTAATGAAAAGTAGAAGTTTCGGGCAGATTTTTGCATTGTCCAACAATGAAAGTTCAAAGAATTTAAAACTGACTTAAATTCCTATTCAGATTTTTCAACTGTTTATGATATTATTCTGAGGTAAAATATATTAATATTTAATAACATTTTTGTAATTTTACATTCTAATTTCACTTTTTACTTTTCTTATCTTTTTTACTCCAAACCTTTTGAGTAGGAAATGACATTTTATTTATCAAAGTAATTTTTAATACAATGAAAATAAAGTTAATAATAATAATTATATATGTGTGTGTGTGTGTGTGTGTGTAATAAAAAAGGGACTTTGCAATATTAATGGTGTAGAACACAAACGCTGGAATCCGTAATGAACAGCGGGAATTTTTCGATATTGTAGAGTGCTGAAATGCCGATTCACAATAAATAGGAAACTCGCAGCCGAGGCAGATAAAATCTTTTATTTTATTTCACGAAACATGTTATGGCCACAAAGAACATGCCATTTCAAGAATTTAACATTTCTGATAACTTTATGGTAAGAAGTAAGCAGCAGACCAGCTAGATTGAAGAGTAGTGATGTAGTGTGTTATGTTCAGGTGAAATCTTAATTCAGACTGTGTTAGTTTTGATTCTCTATACATTTTGATTGAATAATTAATACTGCTGTAAAATTATTATTGACTGTTAGACTTATTTACATCATCAGAATTTTGTAAGGGTCATATGACATGGATTAATCTTGAAATGACGCAGCGCAGAGAGATTACTATTTTTAGAATACAGAAGGGAAATTAAGTTGTGCTGCTAATTTAATTTTTCTTATATATATATGTATATTATTGCGGATGAACTTAGCAATGTAACATGTATTGATATAAAACAAGATTAAATACAAAGATTAACTGATTAAACATTGGCTGAATCTTCATAAAATGGTCTACAGTAATTTAAGATAATTCAGATCAAATAAAATTTAACAAAGAAAATTATGCTGAAAATCACTAGATTTAAGGAAATGGAATTTGCACGATCTAAGTCTCATCAATTCATTAAATTTTGCTTATAACTGGAAAATTATTTCCTTAGTAACGACTAAAAATTAAAAATTCGGTGAACTACTGAGCAACATGCCGACAAATCAAGTCTCCCATATGTAACAAACCAGGAATGTTGGCATATGTAACATAATTATTTATAATCTAATATCCATTAGAAAAGCCTCCACAAACACATCCCTTTTCATAGGGAGATAGGTCTGATATGCTTTGCCATATTCAGTTAAATAAATTATTAACTAGACACAAAACTATATGTTTAGTGAAATACACTTCTTGGTTTAACCAGATATGTATTAGTTAAATATAAGCATAAATGTTATAAACATAGCATAAATGTTATAAGAGTTTCACAGGTAAAACAGAAACAAACCTTAAAAACATCTTTGAAAACAGGCTGAGAATCTAGCATTCCTTGAATTATGCCTGTTAACTGAAAAAAATATGAGAAAAGTTCATTATTATAAAATAAAATGATTTTAGAAACATAACAGAGGAAAAAATATTGAAATGTAAACAAATAAACCATAACAAAAATTCATTAAAATATATTTTTGAAAATTATGGTGCCTGTTAACTGCATAAAATATGAGAAAAGTTCATTATTATAAAATAAAATGATTTTAGAAACATAACAGAGGAAAAAATATCGAAATGTAAACAAATAAACCATAACACAAATTCATTAAAATATATTTTTGAAAATTATGGTACTCCTCTTATACAGTCAAAAGTTGTTAATCGTCGGGATTCGGCGATTCCGGATTATCGATTTTTCCGAATTATAGATCATCAGTTTAAATCTGGTAAGATGGCATGCAGAAATTATAAAATTAAAAATATGAAACTGTAATTTATGAAATAAAGAACAATTATGATCTAAAGGGTATCAAAATTTACAAAAAAAAAAAAGCTTAATATTTTATTTGTTTACTTTCTTAAACATTTCTTTCAATGTAAGTTGTTTAAGTTGCTTTGTTTTATGTGATAATACTTTCTCTTTAATTCTATAAACAGACATAACTTCTTGTTCAGTTACAAAGTTCCGCTGTTCAAGTCCTATAATTGCTGTGTCGAGAATACCAACTAATTTGTCAATCGAAATTTTTTCGTTTTCAATAACCTCTGTGTCACTTTCTTCACTATCGGAAGCGAATTATAATGACGAGGAATTTGATTTAAATCATATCAAAGACGGAGTATGTCGAGATGAAATACTACATTTAGTAAGAAATTATAAGCCAAATAAAATAAAAACATCTGCCCTGAAGATAAGGATAATGCTGACAGATCAACTTCTAATTCATTGCACGCCGCTTTATCCACGTATACTGCTATTTTCTCATAAATTACGAAAATTTGCACGAAAATGCAGGAAAATTTTGTGAATCTCCACGTGCTCTTTTTACAAAACTACGTATAACATGTAGGGTTGCCGTAAGTAGGGTCGCCAAATTTGGCAATTTATACGAATTTTGGCCTGGTTGCGTTAATACGTAAGTACCGTTAATTTAAATTTAATTTTAAATTATGAAATTTTAATTGCATACAAAAAATGATTAATTATTGTTGCTGATAAGATTAAGATATTAAAAGATATTGTAAATTAGTTCAGTGTAAATAACACTGAACTAATTTACAATATCTTTTAAATTCTGAGATCATATGTAAAATCATGAAAAAATATATAATATTCCAAAATATTAATTCCCCAAATTTTTTTTTTAATTTTTAAGATTAAATTAATTTGCATAAGTGAATAATTGTTGAGCAGGCAGGAGACAGATTTTATCAAGGGGAAGTTAGTTGCCTCCAAACCTCTCGTCAATTACTCGTGTTTCATCATCCATATGGGCATGGGTATAGTAATATTCAAAACCAAATGCAGTGAATTACTTAAAAAAGAAATTTAAACTAAAGGAATTTTGAGAAATTTAGAAAGCAAATTGACTAAGAATCAAAATTAATCAAATATAAATTGCCAATGTAACAAGAGTTGAAAAACAAATTTTTTTAGAAAACCAAAGTAATTTAGAATCCTTTGCCTAATTGAAAACTTCCCTGACACGAATTATGCATGTAAATCAAAAATAAACTACAGTCAAAAATCATTAATCCGGACTCGTCGGGACTTCGGTGATTCCGGATTATAGATCATCAGTTTAAATCTAGTAAGATGGCATGCAGAAATTATAAAATTAAAAATATGAAACTGTAATTTATGAAATAAAGAACAATTATGACCTAAAGGGTATCAAAATTTACAAAAAAAAAAAAAAAAAAAAAAAAAAAAAAAAAAGAGCTTAATATATATTTGTTTACTTTATTAAACATTTCTTTCAATATAAGTTGTTTCCTTTTTTTATGTGATAATACATTTTCTTTAATTCTATGAACAGACATAATTTCTTGTTCAGTTACAAAGTTCCGCTGTTCAAGTCCTATAATTGCTGTGTCGAGAATGCTGACTGATTTGTCAATCGAAATTTTTTCGTTTTCAATAACCTCTGTTACTTTCTTCGCTATCGGAAGTGAATTATAATGACGAGGAATTTGATTTAAATCATATCAAAGACAAGTACATCGAAATGAAATAATACATTTAGTAAGGAATTATAAGCCAAATAAAATAAAAACATCTGCCCTGAAGATAAGGATAATGCTGACAGATCAACTTCTAATTCATTGCACGCCGCTTTATCCACGTATACTGCTATTTCTCATAAATTACGAAAATTTGCACGAAAATGCAGGAAAATTTTGTGAATCTCCACGTGCTCTTTTTACAAAACTACGTATAACATGTAGGGTTGCCGTAAGTAGGGTCGCCAAATTTGGCAATTTATACGAATTTTGGCCTGGTTGCGTTAATACGTAAGTACCGTTAATTTAAATTTAATTTTAAATTATGAAATTTTAATTGCATACAAAAAATGATTAATTATTGTTGCTGATAAGATTAAGATATTAAAAGATATTGTAAATTAGTTCAGTGTAAATAACACTGAACTAATTTACAATATCTTTTAAATTCTGAGATCATATGTAAAATCATGAAAAAATATATAATATTCCAAAATATTAATTCCCCAAATTTTTTTTTTAATTTTTAAGATTAAATTAATTTGCATAAGTGAATAATTGTTGAGCAGGCAGGAGACAGATTTTATCAAGGGGAAGTTAGTTGCCTCCAAACCTCTCGTCAATTACTCGTGTTTCATCATCCATATGGGCATGGGTATAGTAATATTCAAAACCAAATGCAGTGAATTACTTAAAAAAGAAATTTAAACTAAAGGAATTTTGAGAAATTTAGAAAGCAAATTGACTAAGAATCAAAATTAATCAAATATAAATTGCCAATGTAACAAGAGTTGAAAAACAAATTTTTTTAGAAAACCAAAGTAATTTAGAATCCTTTGCCTAATTGAAAACTTCCCTGACACGAATTATGCATGTAAATCAAAAATAAACTACAGTCAAAAATCATTAATCCGGACTCGTCGGGACTTCGGTGATTCCGGATTATAGATCATCAGTTTAAATCTAGTAAGATGGCATGCAGAAATTATAAAATTAAAAATATGAAACTGTAATTTATGAAATAAAGAACAATTATGACCTAAAGGGTATCAAAATTTACAAAAAAAAAAAAAAAAAAAAAAAAAAAAAAAAGAGCTTAATATATATTTGTTTACTTATTAAACATTTCTTTCAATATAAGTTGTTTCCTTTTTTTATGTGATAATACATTTTCTTTAATTCTATGAACAGACATAATTTCTTGTTCAGTTACAAAGTTCCGCTGTTCAAGTCCTATAATTGCTGTGTCGAGAATGCTGACTGATTTGTCAATCGAAATTTTTTCGTTTTCAATAACCTCTGTTACTTTCTTCGCTATCGGAAGTGAATTATAATGACGAGGAATTTGATTTAAATCATATCAAAGACAAGTACATCGAAATGAAATAATACATTTAGTAAGGAATTATAAGCCAAATAAAATAAAAACATCTGCCCTGAAGATAAGGATAGTGCTGACAGATCAACTTCCAATTCATAGCATGCTGCGGTGTTAAAGATAAACAAACGTTAAAGTTTAGATAAACAAAGGATACGCCTTTATCCATTTTTTGCAGCAATTACACTTTTTGTTTGTTGGACATCGAAACATACTTTCGTTTTGTAGATCCTTTGGAAATTCCAGCATCGGAAATTCTATTTGACATAATCGAAAGTTCAAGTTTACATTTATAAAATTGCTCTAATAGTCTGCAAAAAATAATAAGCCGAATCCAATTCGAAGATTAAGGAACAACACAATCTGCAACATTAACTGAATTAGATAATTTTAGCTTAGCTTATACCGTCCGTTATACATTAAAAGCGCATTCATAAACGTATTTTGCGCACGCGCACACGCAAATTCGCAGCGGTAAAGGTCTTACGTAAAGGTTAATGTGATGCATGCGCAGAAAGTTTGTAGCTTTGAGGTCCAGATTATGGGTGTCCGAATTAACGACTTTTGACTGTAGTAATATTCAAAACCAAATGTAGTGAATTACTTAAAAAAGAAATTTAAACTAAAGGAATTTTGAGGAATTTAGAAAGCAAAATGACTAAGAATCAAAATTAATCAAATGTAAATTGCCAATGTAACAAGAGTTCAGAAACAAAGTTTTTTAGAAAACCAAAGTAATTTAGAATCCTTTGCCTAACTGAAAACTTCCCTGACACGAATTATGCATGTGAATCAAAAATAAACTATATCCAATCTATTAAAATACAAAAATAGGAAATGTATGGCAACTCCTACCACTCTATCAGAAATTCTAAAGATATGCTGTTTTTTAATGTTTTGTGAATTTATATTTTGCTCTTGAATTTTATATAAGCATATGTGCGAAAAAAACGATGCTTACTAATAAAGCCAAAAAGGTAAAAAAATTGTATTTTATCAGGAATTACTCCAAGAGCAGACCGGTTACCTGCAATGCTTAACAAGATCATAAAAACCTTAATACATCATCTGGTGCAACATTAAAAACTGAATCTTTTCAGATTTTTTTTTTCTTTTCTTCTTTTTTTTAAAAAAACTTTTTATATTTTTTGGATTCCCCCTCAATTACAAAAACAAAAATAATAAATGCCACATTAATAACCATATACTAAACTAAAAAAATTATTCTGATTTTTTTAAAGTGAAAATAGGTTGATGTGTACATGGATACCGAGTTTGTGCAATTCTTTAACTTGTTATTTTCAAGTTGGCAATTTTGAGAAATGCGCAGAGCAGTGGGTAATTCTGGACTCTGTGAAATTTCCTGAAATTTATAAATAAGGTAAGTGGATATTTGCCTTGTGTAGTGCTTAGATGCATAAGATGAATTTCTTTTTTTATGTTATTTTATTGTTTGATTTAAGATGTAGTTTACTGAGATTATGTATTTTTTGTTTGAATCTACTGCAGAATTGGGTGCTCCTTTGAGTTTTTAAGTGAAAATAGATATATGTGTACATGGAAAAAGTCAAGGGGGTGTGCAATGTCAAGTTTGTGCAATTCTCTGATGTTTTTATGGTTAGTGAAAATAAGTGAAAATAGGTTGATGTGTACATAGATACCGAGTTTGTGCAATTCTTTGTCTTATTATTTTGGCTTTGTGAATCACTGCTACACAAGCCAAAATAACAAGTCAAAGAATTGCACAATCTCAGTATCCATGTACCGTCAAAAATCACAAATTTTCACCAAGGGGTATCGGTAAATATATTTTTACCAAAAATGTTTCACTCTACTCACTAAAGAGATTCTAAATGTAATTTTTTTCTCTCATTCTGTTGATGTGAGTTTGAAAATATGCACTAAAATCTAACTTACAATAATTACACACACATAAAAATTAATGGTTAATCTTTGGATTATGGTAATTGGCGATTTTTTGGCGAAAATTTGGCGACCAACCCTTCTACAGCAACCTGCTAGCTTTTGTTTGGACGCTATTTTGTTTTCACGAAGTAAAGGCATTTTATTTTTTTTCCTCAACACTTTTTTCCAACAATCTGCTAGCCAAATTACACTTATGCTAGAACTTTTATGGAACAAAAGTGCTTAATCATGACAAAGATTAGGTGCGAAATTGGGACAAAGGGCAGAATCGCCCACTGCTTGCCGCGTTTTTAAGAATTGCACCATACACGGTATCATCCATGTACAGGCGACCTATTTTCACTTAAAAAAACATCCCAGAATGCACAAAAATGGCATGCGCACACTCTTCACTTTATCCATGTACACTGCTAAAGTCCTAGCTAGTAACCTTTATCGCCTTACCAAAATGTCGCCAAACTACCTGTTACCATATTCCAAAGATTAGCCAAATTAATAATAAACACATGTACAAAAACTTATAAAAATTTATATAGATAAGATTCATTTACACTGTTATCTAATACTTAATTACCTCAGTGCAGAAAGACGTGAGTTGTGGATTTATTACTGGCCTAACATAAGAATGAAAAGTGGATTCAACTTCAAAAGTTTTACCGGAAACTTTAAGGGCAGGAAACTCTATTATTTCCTACAAAATAAGTAATAATAATAATATTAAATATTACATTTTAAAAAAATTAAAAGAAATCACTACGCAAAATATTTGGATGTTCTCAATAATTAAACCATATATAATTATAAATACTAAACATTTTTAAAAAACAAATAAATGAATAAATGCTACAAATATCATCTAGATCAGAAATATTAAACTCATGCTACAGAAGTCCCATACAGCCCTTGACTCATTGGTTGATCTTTACAATATGGTAACTGGTAGTTTGGCGACATTTTGGAGGCGATAAAGGTTACTACCTGGGACTTTGGTAATAATGTGAGCAGTACTCAGTTCCAATTACGCATTAATTTGCATGAGGGAAATGAGAGATCATGGGATATGTCATGTGATATTAATGGACGAATTACGGTCTTTAATCGGAAAAAGGGGGAAGCGGGAAAAAATCTGGAAATTTTTATTTAGCTTTATTCTGTGTTGTGTGAAAAAGTGTTGGTTAATTTTTGGATCCATGGCCCTAACTAAAGTGAATTCGAAATGGGTATTTAGGCATTGTGATAAGAGAAGTTGCTTTTATTTAGCGGGGGAAGTATGGAGGAAAAATTTGCAGAAAAAAATCTTCAATAATTTTATTGAATGAATTAGAAAAGTGTATCCGCCACGTAATCAAGATTCTGAAGAAAGATTAGGTAAGTTAGTATTTTTAATTATTGAGGATATTATTTTATGCATTGTTCTAAATGTAAGGTGGAAAGGAATTTGGTATTATTGGGAAAATGTTATTAGCAATGATTTAGTTTTTTAAAGTAATTAGGATTGTAAGGTAATTTTTATTAATTCAATGTATGTGCTCATTTATATTTTAAGTAGTGTTTTTGAATTTAATTATATTTAATGAAATGATAGTTATTTTGTGAATTTATGTTTGTAGGAATTTGGTATACGTTTAGTTGAAAGTAAATGTGCATGGAAATAATTTAAGTATCTGACACTAAGTATTTGTAATGGTTGCGGTATGAATTTGTTGGTGACGTTTATAATATAATAGATGATTTAGAGGTAAAAGTTTTTGGATATTTATTATTTTATATTTGGAAATGTTCATAATTGGAAAGGGTAAATACTTTTTCGCGATCAGGTAATTTCATGTATGTTCTTTTTACCGGGTTTAAAGATTGAGAAAATTGTCATGTATTTTCGTGAAATTTTTCTAATTTATGAGAAAAAAGCAGTGTACATGGATATAGTGAAGAGTGTGCAAAATGCCATTTTTGTGCAATTCTGGGAGGATGTTTTTTAAGTAAAAATAAGTCGACGTGTACATGGTTAGTGATATTTTAATGAAATGATAGTTATTTTGTGAATTTTATGTTGTAGGAATTTGGTATACGTTTAAGTTGAAGTAAAACGTGCATGGAAATAATTTAAATATTGATAGTAAGTATTTGTAATGCTTGCAGTATGAATTCATTGGTGACGTGTATAATGTAATAGATGATTTAGAGGTAAAAGTTTTTGGATATTTTATTTATTTATATGTGGAAATGTTCATATTTGTAAAGGGTAAATACTTTTTCGTGACCAGGTAATTTCATATATGTTCTTTTTACCGGGTTTAAAGATTGAGAAAATTGTCATGTATTTCGTGAAATTTTTCTAATTTATGAGAAAAAAGCAGTGTACATGGATATAGTGAAGAGTGTGCGCAATGCCATTTTGTGCAATTCTGGGATGTTTTTTTAAGTAAAAATAAGTCGGCGTGTACATGGTTTATGGTATGTGTTATTTTGAAAAAATGCGTGTACTTTTTCCCAATTTGCAGTGAATATTTGTCATGATAAGCAGTTTGTTTGATAAAATTTCTAGCATAAGTGTAATTCGGCTAGTAGATTGTTGGAAGAAGTGTTCAGTAGATAAAAAGAAAAGAAACATGTCTTTACTTCGTGAAGACAAAATGGCGGCAGGGAAAAAAAAATAGAGGGTTGCTGTAGGAGAGTTGGTTGCCAAATTTTCGCCAAAAAATTGCCAAGTTACCATAATGTAAAGATCAACCGACTCATTTTCTGTGGACCTTGGTTTGGTCCAAGAAAATAACAAAAATAGAGAATATAAAAAAGAATAAAAGGGAGCCTGTTTTGCACAAAACGTAGCTTCATTTGAAGACTGAAATTGAAGAAAGTTCCACAATATCAGATCTATCGAAAGATGAGCTCTGTTTTTTGCCCTTTTTTCAACTCACATTAAGGAAATGCCAGCCCATTTACATATGGAATTAACAGAAATTAAGTGCAACTCAGCAAAATGCAAGGAAAAAGATACCCTCAAATTTTACAAATACTTATTGCATATTTCCCAGAAAGCTACGAATTTACATGATATGTGATTTCCATGTTTTGTCACTTTTGAAAAAGAATCAGCAAAATCCACGTGAGCAGACATTCATCTGATCTCTGTTTTGAAAATCACTAATGTGGTTCCACTCGCTTTTACCTTCCATGAAAATAATTGCTTATCTTCACTTCACGTACAACTACACCTGAATTGTTTATACTTTTAATGTTCAAAAAGTGACACAATATTGATTGGGATTGGGCTCATTTCTACTTATTGAGACAAGTTTCTTCCATAGTTGAAACAACAAATTTGGGTAAATCTTCAGATTATGATAACTTGGCGATTTTTTGGCGACCAACCTTGCTAGTTTTTTTGTTTTGGTACAACTCTAATATACGCCCTAATTTCACCAAATGTGGCGATATGTGTTCTGTGCTGGTTTTTGGCGCGATTGCGTGTTCTATGGCAACCCTGTTGACGCTGAAAAATCTTTCGCTGGAGCTCGTTGATTCACCTCTGTGTCTGAGAAGATGGGAGGGAAAGATAAAATGGTAGTTGTTGAATTGAAGTTCGGCAAAAGGAAATATCGTGGCTATCCTGTTGAGGGGTAGTGGGTATTTGGATGTGTGGAAAGAGGGTCTGGGAGATTATTTTTAATGGCTAGTGCATGATAGAAGTAGGGATTTGTGATTTTATTTATTTGTGAACCATAGTATGAAATTTTCTGGATAGTGTGTCTGGCTGTCATGTAAATACGATGGTGATTACGTGGCGGTATGAAATTGGTATTTCTGCTATTCGAAAAAGCATTAATTCATGGTAAGTGCATTTTATTTTATCCTTGTTCTTATTTTGTAGAATGTTATGTTCATTGGTTCTTTAGTATGAATTTCTGTCGTTATTATTGTTTTTTTAAATTGTTTGAAAGTTATTTTAGTTTATTTTGTTGTTTAGTGTCTAGACTGTGCAATTCGTAGATGTTTTTTATAGTTGAAACAGAACGCTGTGTACATGGTATTATTTGAAATTTATTGTTGTTATGTTATTTTATTAAAGCGAGGAGTGCGTAGTTTGTAGATTCCTTCCTTGCCTAAATTGTGCAATTCGCAGAATTTTTTTTAAGTTTAAACAGGATGCTGTGTACATAGTATTCTTTGAAATTTATTGTTGTTATGTTAATTTATTAAAGCGAGGTGTGCGTAGTTTGTAGATTCGTTCGTTGCCTACATTGTGCAATTCGTAGATGTTTTTTAAAGTTAAAACATGTCGCTGTGTACATGGATTCTTGTCAAATATTTTTGGTTAGAAACTTTACGTTTTTGCTATCTAAATTTTTTGTTTTTGGATTTTTAGCTAAATTGTATGTTGAAAACATAGTTTTTGCATGTGCGAAAACCGCGTTTTTGGAGACATTTTAGGCTAAAAGTTCGAAATGTAGACAAAAAATTTAGATAGTAATATGGCAGCGTGAAGTTTCTCGCCAAAAATATTTGGCTCGAAATTTGGCGACTTGAGGGCGCATATCAGAGTAGTTCCTTTTTTTTTTTTTTTTTTTTTTTTTTTTTTTTTTTTTGCCATTTTATTTTCACGAAGTAAAGGTAATTTTTTTTTTTTTTTTTTTTTTTTTTTTTTTTTTTTTTCTACTCAACATTTTTTCCAACAATCTGCTAGCCAAATTACGCTTATGCCAGAACTTTTATGGAACAAAAGTGCTTAATCATGATGAAGATTAGGTGCAAAATTGGGAGAAAGTGCAGAATCGCCCACTGCTTCGTGTGTTTTTAAGAATTGCACATAAGCGGTATTCATGTACACGTCGACCTATTTTCACTTAAAAAGTCAAAGAAAATTGACAAAAATCCAATTCTTCTTACTCTTGTAAAAAGCGCCAAACAAACAAGTGGGCAATTCTGCACTTTAGCAGCGAAATTGTTTCTAAGTGCTTATTAGCTAAAATTACGATCGGAATTTTCCGGAAAATGTCACATGGCATGTCTCATGATCTCTCATTTCTCTGATACAAAATAATCTGTGATTCGAATTGTGTACTTCTCAGATTATTGCTAAAGTCCTACCTAGTAACCTTTATCGCCTTACCAAAATGTCGCCAAACTACCTGTTACCATATTCCAAAGATTAGCTCAAATTTTTTATGATTGTTAAAATCAACCGTAACAATTTTTTTTATTTTATTCAGATTAATATTATTATATTTTTATATATAACATTACTACACGACTAATCAATTTAAATACTTTCATTATGTGCATGGGCAAAGAAAAGAAGTAAAGACAAATAAAATATCGTACAAATCGGGGCACATTCAAAACACTGAAATGTTCATTATAACTAACATTTAAGTGCACAAACTTTAAAAAAAATATTTGTTCATAAAATTATAATGATCACTTTCTTACTGAGCCAACATGATCAAGAGCAAAAAACACTACGATATACTACATGAATAATTCTACACTTTTCACTGGATTTTTAGAAAAAAATAATTACTTTATGTTTTACAGCAGAAACAACATTTAATTTCAAATATGTTAAAGTTTTATTAACTAATTTAATCCCTTTAGCAGGCCCACGAATGCATCACTGTTAATTTCTTCTGTTGTTTTCTGGTGTCCCGGAACAAACCTAACCCTGGTTTGAACATGGGTCAAAGTACCCGTGTTCAGTAGGTTTAACTACTTGGCTAACGGTGAGCTCAAAAGTTTCTGAATATTCATACCTGTATTCCATTAAATAAATAATAACAAAATTATATTTCTTTTACCAAATTACATTCTGTATATATGATGTTTGATTCTGTATGAATTACATTCTGTGTACATTTATACGTTAAATAGAATATTACCCTTGGAAATGTCTAGGTAATAGAACACAAATTATTTACTATTTCAAACTGTTATACATTCATGACAAAATTTTGTCATACAATACACATACAATTAAGTATATAACCAATACAAAAAATATATAGATTATCTGACCTGTGGAGCTAAATTACTAGGAGAATCACAAGTTGCTTCAAAATCAATAACAAGAAAATAATCAAAATTCTGTGCAGGCCTCTTAGATAACTTCGGTGCTAGTTCCAGAGAATGAGATTCGAATAAAGGGATTTTTCGGTGCTTAGGAACTTTTATAGACTTTTTAGGTAAATTAAATTTTGGAGTAATGTTAGATGCATTTGGTCTACTTCTATAAAACAGTTTTTGACAAAATGTGGCTAAAGCACATTTTGATCTCAAACACAATCTAAATGGCATATGCAACATGACGATTAATATACACAAAACTCTGAGTTCCCTTCTAAACTATACGTGGTAATTTCAAGAAACACTTAAACAAGCATTTTCTTAACATCTGCTACCGTGAAAAAATTTTTTGATCACAAATGGATACAGCGCATTTTAAACTTCAACACATGTACGGAAAAGAAGATATAAACAAACAATTACTTCACTTCACTTCACTGTTATTATCGGCTCTCTGAATAAAAAGCTAAAATGAACTATTTTCTTTAAAAAACACTTCGATCAAGATGTCCTCTTTATTTTATATTTACCTAGACAGTGATACCTCGACATACGAGTTTAATTCGTTCCGTAATCTTGCTCGTATCTCAAAGCAATGTTCCCCATTGAAATTAATTGAAATGTCATTAATCCGTTCTAGCTCCCAAAACACCACCTCAGTTGTTTTTTGTTAAGTGTTTTTTAAATAAGAAAAATGTATTTAAAAGAAGAAACATTTATTTATAAATAACAAATACATATTCTATAAAAACATAATTAAAAGAAAAAGTGAAGTGCTTACGGAAGAGCTTAATTTTCGTCACTGCTTTTCGCTTTTTTCGTCATGCTTTGCTCATTTCCATCTGCAGATCGTTTAAAAAAAACCTGTGCAAGGAGGTTTCTTTCTTCCTCCCTTTCAGGATATTGCGGAAATGAGTTAGACAAGTTTCGTCGAACAACTCCGATGCACGACAAGTTGCAACTTTTTCGGGGCGATTTTTATCCATGAACTCTACAACTTTCTCCGACATTCCCAAGATCTCCTTTATATCTCTTGTAGGGATAACCTCCTCCATCTCTGGCTCGTCTTGAAAACTAATTTTTCTTTGAACCATCGCATGCTGCTGCGAATGTAGATATCGTGTAACTCCTCGGTTGTCAGCTCCTGAGACTGTTCCTCGACGAGTTCGTTCACATCTCTCTCATCCACCTTCAGACCCATATATATTTTCCCAGAGAAACAATGTCCTCTACCACTGACACTTCGGGTTCCAATCCTTCGAAAGTCCTTTCAGCTACAGCCTCAGGCCACAGCTTCTTCCATGCAGAGGTTAAGATCCTCGTTGTAACACTCAGCCAGGCCTGATCAATAATTCTTAGGCATATTACGATGTTAAAGTGGTCCTTCCAGAACTCTCGAAGGGTAAGGTTTTTGTTCTCCGTCACCTCAAAGCAGCGCCGAAAAATGTGCTTGGTGCACAACTTGAAACTGTTAGACGCTGCACACGACATTCGCGCGCATGTTGCGATCGTGTGCAGCGGTGTAATGTGCGATTCCTCGTACCCCAAATCTTGCTCTCATCTCAAAGCAAAATATCGCTCGCTCGGCGGCTCGTACCTCAAAACACTCGTATATCGAGGTACCACTGTATTATGCATATTGTCTCGAAAATTCATCCTTTTCCCTGTTTATTTTTCCTTTTTTTTATATGGAATAAAATATCCTTTTTAACGGAAGAACACGTGGTGCGACTATGTGCTAAATCAACACCGACACTTATATGCAGTGAGTGAATTCACAAATTAATTTCCGAAGCAAGTGTTTAAATTATCCGTTGATTCGCCTCATAATCACATTTAAAAAGCTCTCATTTTGCAATTCAGTTTACGAAATGTTCTCTTTAGCTTTACGCCTTTTTATCGCAATAAATAAAAATGATTTTCTATGCGGAACATATTATATTGTACAAATGCATGCTTTGCATGGCTTTCTCCTTACTAATTAGGTAATTGAAGACGTATAGCTTGAATTAATTTATTTCACCATTTTCAGCAAGAACTTTACTTCAGAGGTCAAAACTGCGGAGCTGACGATCTGCTGCGTATCAAAGCTTTGCATTAGTGGTGCCATCTGTTGAGAAGAATATCGTCTATAGCTAAAAATTATTGACTTTATCGGTTCCAAGCTAATCCCCAGCTAGTTTGACGCCTGAAATGACTGATATAACATGCGCTTAAAATCCGAAAGGAAAATAAGGATGAAGTTTGCTTGTTTATATGCTGAAATATAGCGATATTGCAACCTTGCGAATGAGACGATATCATCTATCTACATGCACAGAATGAGAAAAGTTTACAAAATTATGGTAAATTTACAAAGAAATCCTATACTTTGTCCAATTTATGTCCCTTACAATTTCTAGACATTTGTTGAATACATCAATATTTTGCTCCTTCGAAGAAAATGACACTTTCCAGTTTAAAACACGCGGGAATGCGACAGGGTTGCCGACGTGAAGTATTCTAGAATTTACTGGGTTACCAGAAAAAAACCGTCCAAAAAGTGCGCCAAGCCAAAAATCGCCAATTGGGTCCTATACTCAAGCTGTACCTAAGAACTTTTCTTAATTATCTTATTGTAAACTCAACTGAAACCAATTTTCATTACACACCTTAGGAAGGAAAAGAGTATAATTTCAGTTCCTTCTCTTAGCAAACTTTATTTCAAAGTTTGATAACAGTAACAAAATTTGATCAATAGTTTATGTAAAGGACATAATAACTTGAAACTATTACATAAATTTACTTTAAAATTATTACTTTTCTTATTGCAACTAAAGTAATTTCATCGCAGTGTAAAAGATATAATTGAATATTTAATTTGTTAGATCGTCACCTGGGAAAAAAATTTTGAAAACTTCTTTTTCAAAAATTTGCCTGCTTCATGAAATCAGCTAATTATTACATTTTAACAACGCATTTTTATTGCTATTATTAATGTTCATTGGTGTATTATCTACATCATGTTATTTTCAGAATTTTTAAAATTGGCTGGTTATGAAAATTAAAAATTATCTTAAGTTTAAATAAAATAAATTTAAGCTAAGGAAAGAAAAAAAATAGTCGACGTTAGTTACGTTGTCTGACAACTTTTCTCACTGATTTCAAATAAAAATTTAAAAAAAAAAAAAAAAAAATGAAAGAAATAAAATCTGAAAGAATCAGATTTTAACGTCATACGGTTTGTCTTAAGGCCTTTTATACTCTCTCTTAGTATCTCAAGTTACCAATCTACTCTTGGACTCACTTCTGTAAACAAAAATTTTTATTGTCATTTTAACTTTATTGTTAAATATCGCTTTCTTTGCATTTTCACCACATATAATTCAATAGCCAAATTACCAAAATTTTAAAAGCAGCATATATTTAGAATTCCCTATACTGTGATGTTGGGATACATTTTTCTATTTTTTTTCAATCGTTCGTCGTATTAATATTCAGGTTCTTAGTAAAATAGCTCACAAAACTTTTTAGGTCTTCATATTATTAATACATTTAGTAAATATTACGTTCTTCGCATTTGTGCCACATAAAATTCAATAGAAAAATAGCAGAATATTTTAAAACAGCATATCTCTAGAATTCCCCGATAAGGCTTTAAGTGTTGCCATACATTTTTTTATATTCACTATATTATTTCTTTATAAACTAACCGCTTGCGCGGCCAGTAGCTATCATAAAAAAGTATATGATGATTTTAATGAGTTCAACTACTGTCTTTTCATAAAAACGTTGAATATTTCTAATTAGATATCTTATGATTTTAATGCATTTTTTGAAGTCAATGTTATTAAAAAGTAGAAAAAATATTCATTATTATAAATTTTACTGAAGTTAATGTTCTTGCAATTAAATCGCTTATTTTTTTTAAAGACGTTTCGTGTTAAATTTGAGAATTAAATATTAGGCTTTACTGAATGGCAACAGTCTGGCATGTAGAGGATAAAAGCATCTTACTTCCGGCAGTGGCAATACATTGCTTATAAATAGCCGAGTTTGTCATTCAAAATTGAAAGATCTTACATTTTACCTTACAATCTTACATTTTTACGAATGGCAACAGTCTCGCGAGCTGGGCATAAAAATGTTTTGTTTCGAACAGTGCTGCCACTGCTCGTTTTCAGTTCGTTTTTCTTAATCAAAAATTCATTAAATTTGTACAAGATATGAAATAAATAAGAACAATTTGGAAATTAAAAATTAAGGCTTCCAGATGTACACTGTACAAAAAACAAACAGAAAAAGGGCGACAGTTTTATATCTCCCGTTCTACAGGGCCGATTAACGAAATTCAAATTGAGTTTTCATGTCTCAGAAGCGGAACTGAGGATATGTATTAGATTTATATATAACATTTTTCTAATATAGGTATTTAGACACAAAATCGGCCTCTTTCTGAAAAGGCATGCCATTTTTTTTCCATATTTCAATTCTACGACACATATTATGCCTAGATATTAGATTTTTGTAAAATTTGGTGCGAAATTTAGGGAGAAATTCAAAAATTTAACTTGGCCCATTTTTCTCAGTTTGCGCCAAGAATAATTCATTTGGCGAACTTCTTAATTTATAGCAACTTATTTTCCTTTCCACTTTTTCAGTGTAGACGAGCTGGAAAAAAAAAAAAAAAAAAAAAAAAAAAAAAAAAAAAAAAAAAAAAGGCATCATTCATAATTTCAAATAATTTTAACAAAGTGCGTAAACCCCATTTGGCGTTATTATCGCTTATAACAAATATGCCAAATTTCAAAACTCACCAATATGTAAATTCAGATATCGTATATCTTTGGAAATTTCGAATAAAAACTCTAATTTATTGCAGGTGTGATGTTATAAATTTGATAGGTTTCAATTCAAAATTTTTTTCGAAAAATTCATAAAACTTATTTAAAAATACAAATTTTAAAAAATAAATCATCAAAAATGGGCGAATTTATTGTGATAGGACTGTTTTAGTGGCTGTAGGTGTCGTCGTTTTTCCACATTGCGGAGAACAAACATACATATACAGATTCTTCATTATTTAATTTCTTTAAAAGTAATGCATGAAATTAACATATGATGGCAACAGTCTGAAAACCGATTCAGATAAAAAAGTTCGTTTCGTGCCTAATATACTTTGCTCAAAATTTCAAATTTAGAATAAATTGAAATAAAATTTAAAAAACCTGAAAGGTTTCAGATTTTAAATTACGTCCAAAGGGGCGCTTTTTTAATATTTTGTAAGATGAGCCTGTCTTTATAACTTCCGATACACAGTTCGTGCCCTGGAGATAAGAATGTTTTTTCCTGTACAACGTTGCCATGGCTCGCTTTGAAATCCTGAAGTTTGTTAATCAAAAATTCGCGAATATTGGCAGGAGGATTTC